GTAACTATTTTTTTCGTGTCAGCGAATGGGAGGTGTCAAAATCAGGCCCAATTCGGTTTCCTAATGCGCTTTCAAAATGGAGACCTGGCCTGTGACGCCGGGAATGAGGTAGGTCGTGGAGTTGAATTTTCATTCGTCTTCTTTAATGTCAAATATTGTTGCCTACCGACTTCAACGGCAGGTTGTCTCCCCGATGACCTCAGCCTAGTTGGCTGATTTTGTGGACATTCAAGAGGATCTACAGTGCAGCCTTTTACCGTGTCTACACTTCAGCAAAATTAAGTTTTGTCGGCAAAGTGAAGGTGCTGTACATTCACTAACCCCATGTTCGAGATGAACGTTTGGCATTTCATCCTTTAGCATCCTCTGAAGACATCTTACTTGAAAGCGACTGATCTCCCCAACCTGCAGATAATCAATAAATGAGGCTCTGATTACATGCTGCAGAGAATTTTGCGATGTCGGTGAGTAAAACTCGATCGTTGTGAAGATTTAGACGTCGTCTCCACTCTTTCCACAGTATGTAGCTTGAAACCATCAAATATATACGGTTACCATTAACGTTGCATCGCAATAGTACTTTCTAGATCCTCTGTCGAGAGCCATAATACATTCTTTACCGCTTTCAGAGTCAAATCGCAGTTTTAGTCTTAGTACAAAAAATTGTCATTGAGAGGTTACAGGCGACTAAATGGTCCCGGTAGGATAGCAGGAAATGAAAAAATAATTGAGCACATCCTGCCAGAATTAGTTGATCTCTGGATATGCGCACTACTCGGCCCGATGATCGTGACATCAGACTAAAATAGGTGAACAACTGAATCTGACTAAGGAGTTTTCAACTGCGAAACAAAACTTGGAGTTCATTTTTTAAACGCTTCTATCTACAAACATGGTTTAATTTTCATCATAGTTGACATTTTGCAAATTGCCTGTGGTCGCTGTTAGAGCGCGTATGTTGGCAAGTTCTGTCGTGTCCCTTAATCCTGCAGATTTTTTGTTTTACCATTCTCTCCAGTTCTAATTTTCTGCTTCTGCACTTTTTCTGACAGTAGCATAATTTTATGAAACCTTCCCAGGTCTGTGCTGGAAGTTCATTAAATAAAGTGAGACATCTTAGTCCGCCGTCATCCGCATGCACAGCGAATCTGTCTTTTGTCTAATTAATATACCAAACGTAGGAAAAGGAACGGGGGAGTTTTGATGTGGGTGGAATGAAGTTAATCCATTACTAAATTGGGCAAGAATTTGAAAGAATCCGACTCTCATTCACTTCCGCCCTCCCACCGCACAGCGCAATGCCCACTAGAATTTTGATAAGCTAAACAGGGCGTAATTACGCCTTCAGTGCTTCCGAAGAAGATCGAGCGGGTTGAGTTAGCATTCCTTGTTGGACCCTGTTTTAGAAAACGTAATAAAAATGCTATATCGGGGCGATGTCTCTGGGGTCAGCGGTTTAGCTCTCCGGGGAGTCAAGCCTCAAAAAGGCTCAATTACTGACACAACAAATTCGCATTCGTATATTATTTAGTAAGATAAAAGGTCACTGGGTTTGTGAATTTCATGAGACACTGGTGGGATTGTGGGTGGCCGGACTTCTGCTCTAAGCGCCACCTCTATTCAAATAGGATTCATAACATCCAAGTAGGATTAGCGACTAACGCAAAAGTGGAAATCACCGTTGAGAAAACTGTTTTGGATATGCAAAAGAAAACAGGAGATGTAAACGACGAGTATAAGGCATTTCAAATTGCCAGAAATCGTACAAAAGTTCCCTTCAGCATATTTCAAATTGTCCCGCGCAGTCCCTGTATTGTCTGTCTTTTCATTAACGGTGCCTATAAGAAGGTGTGAAATTTAAAAAAATTGCTCACATCTTAGGTCCAATAAGCGGGCATGAAAATGTGTGATGTCAAGGGTACCATTTATGACCGAGGTTACTTGCCATGGGGAGCAATTGTGTTAAAGGGAAATGGCTGGCAATATTTATTCTTTACATGCCAGAGAGGGAGATGAATAGATCTCGCGGTGGCTGTTGCGTGAGGGTGGTCAAGATACTTTAAGGTAGCCATCGAAGTAAAAATACAACAGTGCAGTACCTACCTGACACTGGCTGCAAAGGGTCATTAAATTCGTTTAATAGTATCATTAAATGGTAAAAAACAGTGTCCCCTTTTAATTGGTGACGATGTAGTGGAGCAAAATTTGTGATACCACAAGGTTCTTAGATGTTCAGCTATTCTTCTTAACACAATTGCCCTCCGGAGTAAGTAACCCCGGCCATAAACTATACCCTTGTCGACGGGATTTTTAACTTCGACAATCTAGGGCGTTGTGAGCCGGTGGCAGTTGGTTGTACGCGAACACCTTTTGCCGACAAAACAGTATACGGTAGAAAAGGACGAAGATGGTAACTAAGGTTAAGTTTTGGACCTGGGAGAGGTCATGCACCCAGTAGGCGATCCTCGGGTTCTGTAGACAGCCTAATGGCTCAGCTGGTATAGGTTTGACTTTTCACGTACTACCGCATGAAATGACCTACATGGCTTCGGAAATGGGGGAGGGTTTATGCAGTCGGCGTCCCATGACTTGGCCGAACACCAGATGAAGACACATAACGGGATGTTTCCTTGCTGTTGCCGTTGCTGCTGCTGCTACTGCTGCTTCAGTGAAGCAAAACCGACCGTCTTCTGCAAGAAAGTTTACGTGGGACCAAGAACAGATCCTTTACGGTAACAGAAATAGGCCGACACACAATGGCATGACAAGAATAAGTCTTTCCCGTCTATGATGAAACCCGACGTACATCCGCAGCAATTTATGAGGGGCGTTTTGGTGTTTTCTATGAGATTACTCCGTTCACACTTTCTTCAGTCTTGCTACTGCAACTTGAATGAACGAGAATTCAGACAGAACACAGTGAGATGCGATGCATTCAAAATCACTTCGAACGATAAGATACAGGGTCAATAAAACTGCGGAAACCTTCAGGTTGACATATTGGCTCCCACCGTATTCGGTAAGGGCTGCTTGGGAGTAATTTGACGAAAGATGTCTTCTACTAAGGAAACGCATACTTTCAACACCGCAGAAACCTGCTCCGGCACTACGACCAGTAGCTGGCCGCACTTTATGCATACTCGATAATTACTTGTGCGTGACTCTTTCCTGGGCAAAAATTCAGTGTTCTACTGTGCACAATGCTATTGCAATTAAAAAATGCATTCTTAATTTCACACTGTACTGATTCTCAACAGCCGGTGAGTCGAAAACCCGGAGAGTCAAAGAAGTGTGAAAGAAAACTCTTGGTGCAATGAATTTTAAGAGGACTGCAATGCGACCTTTGGTAGAGGAACCGATAGTGGGTGTCTGGGAGTAAACAGCAAGTTTTTTCTTTTGAAAATCTAGTTAATCTGCAAGTAACAAAAGATAACAGGCATTTTTCTGTTGCCCGACCTTCAGGGGTAGGCGCATATGGTTGGGTTGTCCTGACTCCAAAACACAGCCAGCAAATCTGCATGTAAACAACATCTTCCTTACAAATGGGTCGTCGTAGCCAGACATCGCGTCATTTCTCCCCACATAAAATAGGCGCATGTTCAAAACAGCCCTAAAAATGAATACAGTCTTTTATTCTTTCATATCGTATTTCATCTCTACAGGTCTATTGTTGTGGCATACGTCCGCGCCCCGAAACCGTCTTGACTTTGAGTACACAATTGAAATCTGCTCTTGAAGGACGGCCATTTTGTTACATTCCGTTGTACAGTCAGTCCTACCTCCTGTGCATGCCTGCAGGCTTCCTGCTCTGGCAATTAAACAACACGTGTCCCCCTCCCTTTGACTAAACACCTCCGTTTGCGTACGCTGCGACATCTTAAATGTGTTCACACTTGCGCCTGCGACTGCCCCGTCCGCCAATTGCATCGCTGTCCCAACAATCTGTAGTTTTAATTGGCTGAGAGAGCGCAGGGCTCTGCCCTCGATGGGAGGTGGCCAACCAACGGGAGAGAGGGGTCGGTGTAGATATCTTACCAGCTCTGCACTAAGGAGGTTATCAACACACCAAGCTGACCAAAAGGCAAGACTTTAGGTAAGTTGAAATTCGCTTTGAATGGGCTTGTTAACCCTGCTCTTGTCTTTCCTCCGAATTGGGTTGAAGGAAATGGCGGGGTTTCTTATGTGTGTGTCATACACATGGAATTGAGGCGGAGTCGCCTGCATAAATGCAATTTTGCACACCAGGAAGCTAATGTCACACTAATTTCACAGTAGGCGAAAATTATTCATGGACAGGCTATGCAACTAAGAGGGCTTGAGCAAAGCTTACTAGTATGCAGTGAGTAGTTAGTCCCTGAGACGAGATAGAGAGGAGTCCATTAGTGTTCCGATATTTTGCTTTAAATTTGACCGTCAAAGGTGAATGAACTCTTAGGGAATCGCTTTAGAATTCTGATGCCGTGCATTTACTTGATATGTTGGTCAATTTCATCCTATTTTACCAGGTGAAATAGTCGATACCGTCGATAGCGAGATCATTTAGAAGGCTATGGACAGCGGGATCAGATTGAACGACACGATCGCCCTGGCTACTCCTGTCTCTAGAATTTTGATACGCTCCAGAAATTGTTCAGTCCACCTAGCTATACACTTCGGATTCTTGGTGAGGAAACGAAGTCGTGAGTAAAACAACTCTGGCAGTCCAGGAGTTGGGGTGACGTGTAAGACGACAGGGAGACATTGTGGAACAGGGTACCGACGAAGGCAAAGGAGGCTGGAGTGGCCATTTCTGGCTTACTAGTCTTCGTTAGTTAGTCCTACCCATCACAGGTTTGGATAGACCGGAATTCGAATCTGGATTCCTGGGGTATTGAGTGTTAAGTTCAACATTTTGCTATTGATCCATGAGATTCTTATCCTGTCTATTACGATCGGGATCATTAACTACTGCTTCAGGATAATTCACCTGCCCCACTGTTTAAAGACTTTCAGATAAGGCAATGATTGCTGAACATAGTAAAGAGGAGGGTCCTTCGGGGGGAGACCGAGTGACACATTCTATCAGTTCACTTATTCACAAACCAAATGATGAGAACGTGCTATCTACCTACTACCTCTACGGCGAACCCCTCATTTGTCTGACACTGCACGGCGAGGAGCGACTCTGCCTGGCCCAGATCTCGGGTTTACTGCTGCGAGATTTCTCCTACAACGAGATTCACAACCGGCGGGTTGCGTTGGGGATCACCTGCGTGCAATGCACCTCTCGTCAGCTGGAGCTGCTACGTCGGGTCGGTGCTATGCCCAGTTCCTCGCGCCGCTGCGGTACCATCACGAAGCGCGAGGCACAACGCCTTGTGGAGTCCTTCCTGCAGGAGTTGCCACCACCAAAATTGCCGGAGAATTTTGCCTTCGAGGTGGTGCATCATTGCGGCTGGGGTTGCCAAGGTTACTTCATCCCTGCCAGGTACAACAGTTCGCGAGCCAAGTGTGTTCAATGCGCATTCTGCCAGGTGACGTGGATCCCTCTCTTGTTGGATGTTTGTTTAGTGTTTTCTGCATTAAGGGACGTGTTTTTCGAAAGCACTTTTGGCAATTTTTTGGTTCTCACTTAGAATGCGGTTCAATATCAGAAGCAATGTGTGTATACAGGCAACTGGCAAACTGATGTCGTCCAATAAACCAGTGTCCTTTATAGAAGCCAGTATCTTACTTATGCGAAAGTCATTAACAAGTTAGCGACAACAGTTGTGTTCCCGGCAAAAGCCTTTTGGGGCACTATTGCCAGCTCCCTTTATTGTGAGGGATACTGTTACCTCGGCGACATCCGAACCTTCAACCACTTGAGTTGCTTGGCGCCCACATACAGTCCTGAATTTTTCACAATTAGCCTCCTACAGCCAGTGGAAATATCCAATTTTAGTGAAGCAGGCAGATTTCCTTATGCAATCAACTTAGAATTCACCAGATGACCACAGAGCTCATTTTTTAATATATGTTATGACAAGACAAGTTCTCGTTCCCGTGTCCTGACTTTATATCTAGCCCAAATATTAATTATACATCTAGCCCCACACTTAAAATTAAACCGAACACCAAACTTAACACTACCTCTTCTCTCCCTGGAATTTAGTGCTAGGCCCCTTGTGCTACGGAGAGGAGGGGGATTCCGGTTCCGTGCCCTATCGATATCACAGGCATATGATTTACCAGAAACAGAGAAAGTCAAAGTTCACATAATACTACTTTTCGATGCCGTCCAAAATTTCGAGAGAACTTTCGATGGTCCACGTAGTCATTTGAGAACCCATTCTTCCAGTCACTCCTCCATGCCAGGCTATGAGAGAAATAACCCAGACGGAGATCTTGAATGCAGAGGAAACTCGGACTTGAATTTAGGTGTGAATTAAAGTGTCGCACGTTTAAAAATACAATCTGGACTGTAATTGCTCTTCAGACTTGGTCCATTTACGTCCAGGGTTAGGAATATCGGTGAACCGAACGATCGGGTAGTACTTACAGGCAAAAATTAATGTCATCATTATAGCCGTTCCTGGCTTATTGACCTCATAAGTCAGTGGATGTGCTGCCGCAATGACGATTAAACCCTAATCAGTGATGATTAAGCCTTAATCAGTTTGTGACTGACGACTTCCCCATCCCGGAACAAGGATCTGGGGTCCTGTTTGTTGATTGGGAGTGGCAATATTCAAAGTGACGCGGGGTAGTTGTACCGACCGCTTAATCCCGATTTCGGGAGAAACTCCGGATCTAGAGTCATCGGATCTAGGTTCAAACTTCCTGTACGCCGAAATCGGAGTTGGAGTAGCATTGGTTGATGTTGGAAAATAATCGAAAAATGATCATACTGGCGTCTCTCGACATTTTCGGCAAATACTTCTCTGTTAACGATTGTTTGTTGCCATTCGATCGTCTGGGTAGACTGTGACTCTCGTCTGCATTCTGTTCAGCAATAAGGAGAGGTACGGCAAACTGGCTATCTCGCGAAATATTAACCAAGATTCTAAAATGCGTTTTCGACACAAAAGATTTCTTGAGTAGGGTTGCAATATTAATTGCCGTGCAAACGTAATCTCTAGCTGTTTCTGTCACGACAGGAAACCGGCCTTTGAACGAACTTTTTCCTGCCTGCCAGAGAAAACAACACTCTGTAAAAAGCAACTACGTAAATAGCACACACTTTTCTCATTTACTTCTGATGATAAATTCAAGTATACTTCGTAGAAAATATGCATACAAACACTTGTTCTTTTACTACCGTGGCAGGTAATTACGTCTTGAAGGAAGAGTATGATTTGGTTCTAAAAACTTTTTTCAATTTCGGAATAAGTTTAAACGCCTCCCAACGTCAAACTTTTATTCGGGGTTTCCATGGTACAAGCTGTATGTTTTCCGTTTAAGGAAAATTGTAATCTTTATATGCTACGAAGAAGACATTTGGGATTTGTGCAGTTTCGCAGTGGGTTTGAACCGTATTGTATACATTACAGGCGACACTAATACATTCAGAGATAAGAAGTTTTATGAATGAATATTCCACGGTCAAAAAATCGCATAATTATAAATCCCTTTAAAAACGGAAAATACTATTTATTCAAGTAAAAAATTTAAAGAGGACGTAATTTGCTACCCATTGGGCAAAATAACAAATATTTTTATGCATGTTTTTACGACCTTAGAAGAAATTGTATGTACTCCAAAAAATTTACGTATTGGCATTTCTTCCATCACAAAGGCTGATAACTACTATTACCATCCGGTCCCCGACGGCACATAATGCTTGAGTTTAATTACAATCGGGGGGGGGGGGCGATTGAGCATCAGAGCTCGTCGACTCTCTTCCAAACATCGTCATCTTCCAGTTTTGAGGCCGAATTCTACCTCCTGGAGATAAGGAAGTGTCCTCGTGTGTGTTAAGTAGAACAATTCATTTATTCAGTAATTGGCGCAACGAACTTCCAGGTGCATGCATGCATGCAAGTTCTTAACAGTGGGGAGAGCTCCACGGACGAAGTTGTGCACCTTCCGGATTTGCTATGGAAGCCATGGTAGGCAGTAGCTATCTCAGCCTCGCTGTCCGCGTGGTGAACAAAAAATGGTCGGATTGGTTTGGTAGCCCCACCTGAAGTAAACAAACCTCAGTCACCTCGAATACGGGACCGGTAGTAATAGGGGTTTTTACAGGTGGGGCCGGGAAACGCACAGACGACGAAGTCAAGTAGTTGTATGCAAAAGAAAAGCTATTGGGAGTGCGTGGTTGCACTTTTAATGGCTGTGAAATAGTTCCTCCAACCCCTAACCATGATCATAGCCCCTAACTATAGCCCCTAGCCCTAAACCCCAACCCCTAACCTTTAACCTAACCCATAACCTTAACCCCTAACCCTAACCCTTAACCCCGACCCCAACAGTATGGTGTCCATCAGGTGGGACTACCAAACCAAATTGCCAGATGCTAAGCCAACAGGGCAATTCTAGGAGATAACATATGGAGTTTAATAGGAGAGATGTCAACTCCAAGGCTACGTACTATTGCAGATTTGGCCGAAAGCCGAGTCTGCTTTGCCGCTAGACCAGTTTCCCGCTCAAGTACATTGATTCACGTCGGCCGTGGAGACCTCCGGTCGGTGGCGCACGAGAAAAGAGGTTGGTGTATGGCATGAAAGTAGGCAACCGCACAAGTCGGACATCCAAGGAATAGAAGAAAAATTTCTAAAGGCGCTTTTTTCATATAAGTTGATTTTACCAGCAAGAACATCCAACAGCCAGTTTGCTTAAAAATCACGAATATGCATGTGCCCACGAAGGAAGCATAGAGATGTCTAAGGGGGGCTTACAATAAACAAGTTCAATCCGTGAATAGCGGCTTGGAGCATTAAGGGCAGCCTAATTCAGAAGTTCAACAACTCGCACACACCGGCATGGACTATAATGCAATTAGTTTTGTCAGATTGGGGAATTCACTCATCTCACACGATTGACAATTGTGCGCGGATGGCGACATGAGGGGTTCGGGTTAACGATGGGGTTAGAATTATTATCAGGACCGGGGTTAGGGTTGACGTTTGGACGCGTAAAAAACTACCCCCTGAATTTTGGCACAAAACCACCTGTCATACTGGAGGGCACCTTTTCCCGTGTCTCATCAACGCCGAAATGCCTGCTAATTCACGACGCCCAGGATTTTCCCTAGCCTTCTGAACACCGTCTTACCACTGAACGGTGCGAGAGTTGGATAGATTAAAGCCGGAAAAGCGCACTTTTCCCTCCTTAGAATTGAGCCAGTACGCTAGTCACTGCCGAGAGTCTTATGCTCGTAGAAACATGCCTCAGCGCTCACGATGAGTACACACCATAGTGAAAGGCGTCGGACGGCGTAAGTTTCGATCTCCTCCTCTGTAATATAGTACTATAACCCAAGGGGAGACTGGTCTGAACCCTGCCAACGTAGTCCAGTGCTATGATTATCGTGGATTGGTTGGAGTTGAAAGAAAGACCGAAGTTGCTAACTGGTTTTTTTAATGTCGCATGCATATGACACAAGCACTAGCTCAATTCCACAGACAAACCGACTTTATCCGAACATGCTGCCCGTTAAAAGACACAACTTGGACGTCCAAGCACAGCACGTCTTCACCACTTTTCCATGCGATGACCGTGAGATTCTGTCATATCCCGAGTTCCCGCTCGTTGTTTTGCCGGAATGACAACTCATATCGAGAATCAGAATATTAAGGACTTCCTTCTAAGGGTTGACCACCTTCTAACTGTAGTGGTGAGGGGATTTGGAGGAGAGGAATTGTATTTAACAAAGGGGCGAATACAAATGACTAATTTCTTTTCATTCAAGTGGAGACGCTTCGCGTACAAACTGTGAGTGAAAAGTTTGAGTTTTACAACCGGTGTGGTAAGGAGTTGCTGGCAGTTGTACATTGCGTCTCCAAGTAATGACAGAGGGTGCTGAGCGAACTCTTAGCGCGCCTAGTGCATTGAGTAATTAAATTCGGGCGCAAACCCCGCGTCCACCCGACCCGGGCTTGGACTGCGGACACACGTCTACGCAAATTAAGCCGATGGTGACTAATGAAGTCGCCATAATTATTGCTGGCTGATATTCACAACTTTTGGAGAAAAGTATCATTGCTGCTCACTCGATTATTTTGCTATGTTGCCGTAGCAGGGAATAAAGCACACCTGTTGCTCAAAAGATATGTCCGTTTCCTCGTGGTTAGTTTACATGACATGATGAGTTATGCATTTTATATTTATAGACATACTTTTCGCCGAACAAATTTGTCTTCCATTGTCACACTCGCGAGGAAACTGGACGGCAACAGGTGGCCACATATCGACACCCCGATGCAGCTAATTTCAACGCCTGGCGACGTCACCTAGTGCTCGCAGATCCCGATCCGCCGGAAGAATTGCTTTTTGCCTGGGAGGATGTTAAAGCCATGTTTAACGGGGGTAACCGTAAGAAAACTGGCATGCCCTCGCCCGAAGCCTCGGCAGCCTACACGCCGGACGCTAGTCCACCACCATTCAAAAGAAGATGCCTCGATGTGTCTCAGGCCTCAAAGAGCGAGAACCATGTCAAGGCGCTTGATCGACAAATCCATCTGGGGTTCCTTCCCAGTTCACCAGAGGCCCTTATGCACGAGAAGTGCCGCTCTGTGTTTACCTCTTTATTGGAGCAGAAGACATTCAGTAAGGTGGATTGTTCATTAGGATCCCTTGACTGGAATCCTAGCACCGTCCATCGAACTCCAGAATATCTTGCGCCCCTGAAAAGGACTGTGGAGCTGGCGGCGGACCTCGAATCCGCTGTCCCTCTCAACCAGTCCCGAATCCGACAACGGGATTGGCTGGAAGACATTGTCTTGGGGTCCTCGGATATAGTGATAAGTGGACAATCGACATCGACTGTATCTGGTAGTCTGGGCATCTGGGCAAGCGCCCTAAGAAGTTATCTCGAAATGATGGCTAGAGGATTTTACCCACCACCACCGCCGCCGCCGCCGCCGCTTCCACCACCGCCCACCACATGATCATCTTGATTTTCGCTCTATCAACTGATTTTTCATCAGCGTTTACTGTTCGATCGTTAAAAACATCAGTGGTTCGGTTAATTATGCTTTTCTGTTTCCATAACTGCCCTCAATTCGATTCTACTTTCTAATGTTTTTTTTCTTGCAACTGTCCATTCTCCGCATCCGATTTCTCCATCCTAAGGCTCGACCAGTCACAAATTTGTTGCGTCTGATCCGAATTATATGAGCTGTTCGCCTGGCATTTATTTGTGAACTGACCCTGCCATCACCCTCAAAGTGGAAAAAGCTGTCAAAAAACCATATTTGCAGCAATTCGAGAAACCTTAACCAACATCCCGAAGTATGCTTTTAGGCGAAAAAGCTGACTTGAAGCTAGTCATTACGCTAATTGACATAGCCTACATGCCTAGGTTACTCCAAACATGATTATATGGTGCCCTTGGATTACGAATTCTCCATTTGATTTTATCTGAAATGGTAATCCTTATTAAGCTGTACATACTTGTCCACTTATACTTGATGCTTCCTTTAAACTAACTTCATTTCTTAATACATGGCATCCGAACTTTCGCTCTCATGTTCCTCTTGTGAGAAATTATATCTTCTGCCTTAGGAAATGCGTCAGACGTTTGCCTGCAGAGATTAAGCACTTCACAAATATTGGAAAACACAGCCCGCGCGTTAATAGCCTTGCTTTCGATAAATTCTCATCGGGCCTGTACATTTATATGGGAACGAGGTACAAACTGAACGTGTGTGTGTGATAAGTGCAATCGATTACGGTTCGTCCTTTCATGCTAACGCTGTATATGAATAGATTGGGGAAGGGAGGGGGGAAGGAGAGGAGGCAGTCAGTGACAGTGGGGGTTAGGTTGAGCCGTGTCACAACGGGAGGCGAAGGGAAGGGGACGGGGGCGCGGAGACCTGCATACAGTTATTCTATCCTGGCCCACGGTAGACGCGGAGCGTGCAAGAGGTTCTACTGCGCGCACAGTACCGACCTCTGTAGCCTGATGGCGGCAGTTGCCTCTGCTGTTGCTGGTAAGCGCTAACCCAGTTAGTTGGGACCCTGTCACACGGAAGGCTTCGTTGGGATCCACGCGGTGCCCAGAACCAACCATGTGTGCTAGGATGAAGCTGTGTATGCTCTTAACTTTACCCTTCCTCAGGCATGCCGGCAGGTGTTCTCGTATTCTTGCAGATAGGCGCCGACTCGTCCGACCAGTGTAGCCTACTCCACAGGAGCAAGTAAAGGAGCTGGTAGCCTAACCTTACCTTCCTCGCGTAAGACGGGGTTGGTCGAAAACAATACTTGAACTCTTGCTGCCCGGAAGGTCCGTGAAATAAGTGCGATATGAACTAGATCAGACTGTCCGTTGCCCAGTTGATATCGTGGTGCACAGGAACAATTGGGTAATAATTTTTGGCAGGCGTAGAAAACATGCATTATTCTGAACGTCTCAGAGTGTTTAAAATGATGCCTTATTCAAAGTGACGACGGGTTGGTGCAACCAGGTTGAAAATTTACGAGTAAAACTCTATTTCCGACGGACTTCCTCCTTTCATCATATCATCTCGGAATGCATACTACTTCAATTATTCATCATATATGTGTATATATAAGATATAAGATATAGGTGTTGTCCAGAGTTTCCAGGTCACTACAACTTTTTTTCGAGAATGCACAAAATTGTAGGACTAATGGGGTCCGCCTTTTTTGTAACTTGTACCTCGTCGATGAGAAGAGACCTGACCAAATGTAGGTATCAGTCAACAGTGGAAGTTGACGTATGAATCCGCTTGCACTTATTATTCAAAAATCTCATGAGCCCACTCGTTTTGAATTTAGATACCTACTTCATAATATCTGTTATACTAAGAACCCAGATGGGCATTGCCGTTCCTGCAGGTAAATGGATCGGTAAACCTCCACTGAGGAATTCAGAAGACAAGTTGGGAGCATATGTTAGCTTTCGGTGGATTCTGTTCAGACTCGTTCTTTTATATTGCTATCAAAATGATTAATAAGAGAGTGCAGAAAATTAGAAGTTATTATGTAATTGGGGTTTGGGGGAGGGGGTGGGTAAAATGAAAGGCAAAATTATCGACAATGTCAGAGGTGGAGGGGGATGGTGGACACTGAGACTGGTGATTATATGTGGGTGGCTGGAATGGTGGCTTTGGCCCATGGTAACTGTGGGGCCTTTACAAAGCTCTTCTGTGTTTTGAGGGGATCGAATGCTTCGTATAACGTAAAGGGGGCTTGGGACAACCGGAGACCGTTGGACCCGTGGGAGAGCACATTTAAACTATGTCCAAGTTGGAGGCATTTATGACGCCATTAAATTCTGCCTATTTCGTCGCTTGCGCCTTGTCCACATAGAAAAGGCATAAAAGGAATAGTAAGGACGTAAATGTAGACAATCGGAACAAAACAGCCGGTAGTGGTGAACTTTCTTATATCGACTTTAAAAAATCTAACATGAAATTCCAGGTTAGGGGTATGGCAGACTAAATCTGGGTAAATAAGGTACAAGTATCCCTCCCATCTCCTCTTATCGTTATCTGTATGCCCCTTGTTTAAAGGGAAGTTCGAGGACATCAGCAATGGTTAAGAGAACAGACAGTTAATTTCCCGCAGAGAACGAACGGCGACCTCGAAATATCAACGGCACCGATTTCAGACCGTCGGCCACTTCGCACGGGATAGAGTCCACCGCATGATTGCGTGCGTCCAAACCCCAGGCATCCTTAAGGAGGTGGGGCGGTGGCATTTTGGCTGTCAGCACTTCGCACGGGATAGAGTCCACCGCATGATTGCGTGCGTCCAAACCCCAGGCATCCTTAAGGAGGTGGGGCGGTGGCATTTTGGCTGTCAGCCGTCCAAGCACTTTCCCTCTGACCCCCCCCCCCCTATCCCCTTAACATGGGCAGCACTGAACGCGAACGGCACGGACACAGGTCTTGCGCCATGATCGTCTCGCTCCATTTGCGGTTCACTAGCATTCTCTAGGGGCAATGCACAGAAATCTTTGTGTACGCATTCCCCTCTGGTGAGCATCATGTCCGTCTTAGCACGTGCTCGAACGCATAGCCCCACCCGCCCTCCCCCCCACGCGACTTGGCCAACCAACCGTTGTCATGGCTCCCCAGGGGGCGTTACTTACACTGTGCCCGCGTCGTAGACATAGTTACATGAGATAGCCACTCAACACCTTTAAAAGTTAGCCTTCTCTCCTAAGGCGCGCAGGCGTCGAGGCTTCTTAGATTGCCGCAACTTAATCCCCACGCCTAGTAGTGGTTCACCCATTGTTGTTCCTCGATTTGGTTGGAAGTGAGAAGGAAATCGGGGTTTAAAATAACGACAGATCGTAAAACAAGACATCTGCAAATAATTCGGCTGTTCGGTCCGACTGAAACGTCTCACCAGGAAATTTTATTGCAAATCGTCAAATTTCAATCATAGGCAAGACTTTCAACGAACATTCGCGCTTTCAGTAAACAAATAATTAGTTTAAGCATCCGTAGGCAGTGCAGTGGGGCTCAAGCGAAATAGCCCCGAAACTCCGGCTGGTAAATGTGAGAAATATGAGTGAGTTTAGAAGCAGCCAGGCAAAATGACTAGCATGAAAAATGACGGGGGAATGGATGACGGTAATCTTGTCGATTGTATAAATTCGGTATGCGTGCTTGGGTGCTGACTTCCAAACTGCACGTCCGCTATGCGGTCGAATTTTACGAGTTGTCTGGGGCGGGCAGGGAGGGGTAACCAATCATTTTTCAACTAGCTTCGACTGCCGTCCAGGTCTTACCTGTTATTTTGCAAAGACGTGGCAAGCGCACTCTAAATCGGATGGGAATAGCCGTTTGGGCTAGTTAATCTGGCAGTGAAGGCTGGTATCGAGCAAACAACCAGGGGTAAGGTACCAGGACAGTCGCCGTGTTCAGCAGCATTTCCATCGGGAGGAAATAAGTCCAAACAGTGAAACCAGAGGCGGAGAAAATAAGCCAGATAATGTGCAGCTCTTTCACATTGATCCAAATCGTATAGAAGTAACTATTTGCATTTCAACAGATGATTTTCGCCAATAAGGAAAGATTGGATGTGCATTAAGAACACACAGTCATCGGATTATTGGTTTGGAATGGTAAACCGCGCATGTGCAAAAAGAGGTGGGCTTGATTATTTGCCACCACATACAGTTGAGAGATAGGGCAGCTGTTTCGAATTGGTTAGACATGCCCTTCGGTTCGGCTCGTAGGGTAGTTAACTTGATATGAATTCCTAGTTTCCAATAGACTGCCTTTATAATTCAAAAGAGGCAATATTGAAATGAAATAATTCAGATGAGGCCGAGTGAGCCAAAATGCAATTTTATGAACAACCGATATTTTGGCAACAATAGTTCAGCTTTCATAGCCGTCATTGATAAATTTAGTCTGTCAGAGAAGAACTCCAAGTGCGAGTTTGTGGTCATTGTTAATCAAAAGAAAGGGGATGGTTTAAAGACCAGAACAATCAATTTATACATCCGATTCTTGGGAATCACGCAGAACATCATCCGCCAAGCCACATAATTAAAACCTCCCCTGCTACTCCGCTTTGACAAGCTGTCACAGTCAGCATTGTAATTTTCATCTGTTACTTGTCCTCCTTCCACCGCTCTTCATGCATGCGGTGCGATTACAAAATTACATCTCTCCCATAAAAATACTAACAACTGTCAAAGGCATTACAGTCGTCCAGGTGATATTGAAAGTGTTTTTACGTTTTGCAACCGGTTAATGCTAAGCAAGGAATGTGACTGACAGGGAAATGAAATACTGGCATGGCCTGTTTTGGCTTATTTGACGTCCTCAGCTAACTATGTCACATAAAAAACCAGATGAACCTGCGATCTGAACTCGGGTCACTTATTAAACGAAAATTTGAGTCCACGGACCTAACAGTTAGGTACCGGGCCCTGTCGGCTGCGACCTGGAATATTCGATGTCGA